TTTTTCGCTCGAGCGAAAATTAATGGTCCAACATGGAAAGTATTTTTGAGGCGCGATGGCTAAGGAATAACTGCGATTCTTTAAAAAAAAAGATTTTTGGATTACAAACTCAGAATTTTCAGTGCAAATTATGATGCATGTGAGAGCAATAAAGAACTAACACAGTTGACAGATGAAGAGACTTTGATGACATATGTTAAATGTCCGAGATAGAGATGGTTGCCATTTGTAAATATGAATGAGATTCGACTCCATAACAAGTTTTTTGGAAGCAGCCTTCCACATGCTAACAACAGAGGAAATCAGTAGTGACATCGTTTAATGAAGGCTCTTAGAACCCTTACCCAGAGAAACGAAGAAGATTAAACAAAAGACAAAGCTGAATAAAGAAAGATTTTTCGAAGAAGCGGAAACCTGTCTCGAGTTTTTAAGCTAAGTGAGGATGATAGTGAATTTTAAAATAATATCTAATTTTTTTCAAGACAATATATTTAACATATATTTTTTGCTTGTTCTATATTATATTTCTTTATTATACAAATTTATTTAAACACAGAATAAAACAAAAGAAAATTCAGTTATTATATACGCACAGGTAGGGAAGAGTTTTCGATTTCACTAAGCGCTGAATCTATTGGACATGTAAAAATGAGACTTCGATTTAAAACACTTAACTTATTTGTATAGATGGGTCATAGGTCATCAAAATTTAGCGTTTGCTGATATCGCTTACATGGTAAATCCGATCAATTCTTAGATTCGAATAGAGTGTTGCATGATTCACTTAACGATGCCTTTTAGTGGTATTGCTAAGATGCTGGTGATCCATCCTTGCATGCTTTCAATTAATCAATTTATTTTACATGCTTAAGTTCAGAATTTTATATCCTATGACAAGATATCTATTTTGAATAGAAAGAGCTGACAATAGACAGAAAATTTTTAATTTTCAATGATTTAGTTAATTTGTATAGCTGTGGTTTATGCGTTTTGTTGTAATTAATAACGCAGCAAGTGCATTGTTTGTTTATTAATAAACAAAAGAAATATTTATAAAACTCTAAATCTGTATGGGGTAAATAGGTGGGCGTTGACTTTATATATTTGCACATGGATCTATAGCTCAAAGTTAACAACGTTCAATTTCCTGGCAATTCTAGTGCAAAAATTATATACGGACAGCAGAATCTTTGTACATACTTTTGTTAAAATGAAATAGAATTTTATTTTATATGCTCTAATTAAATTTATTTATATTTGTCATATTAATTTCGAATAAGATAATACATTTTAATAACATTATTGAGTTCAAAATTATTAATTTGATGGAAAATATTTATCTTTAGACTTAAGCCAAGGTGTGAATTAAAGTTGACACTGTATGATATATATGTTTCTTTGTATGAAGGGTATAGACTCTCTTCGAGGAATTACTCTCCACATTAAGATTGATAAAAAAAGTAGAAAATATATTTTAAACATCCCTGTTTTGTTTCCTTGTTGAGATCTTTCATGCACTAGAAACCACTCTGTCAGTTCATACAACTCTTTACTACATCAATACGAGGCTTGCCTTAAAAATACTGCTTTCTATTTCCATCAATATAATAATATTTATCCCAATAAATGTATATATCAAAATTTTGCTTAATCTTATTGCTGTAAATTAATTATTTAACTTTAATATCAACAGCGAAGCAAGCAAATGACTCTTTGTCTTCATCGACGAGTGATACTTCAACTTTAACTGGTATTTTTGGATATATGTAGTCAATGTAAAAGTTGAGTTGATAAATGACATCTTCACCTTCATCAAGCGGACAACTGGCTCCATTCAATAGATTCTTACATACATTAGCTTCACTTTCGGGAAGCTCATATGGAGTTGTTATACCTAAAGCTGTGGCTGTAATTTTAGCTGTCAACTTTTTAACATTGTCCTTGGCTGTATTTTCAATTAAATATAAAATTTATAAAATATATAAATTTATAATCATAGTAAATACTTACGACTTACGAAATGAACATCCATAACGGCTGTGGAACCCCTAACAATATCGCATGGTTCCTCTTGACATCCTTTGATGTCAACACTCAAAGGAAAGGGTTCTCCTTTTTTACCTACAATTTAACATTGTTAATAAATGATTGAATTATTTAACTAATAAAAATATATTATTAAAGAAATAAAAAACAAAACTGACATTTCTGAACATTAGTTGCATTTGCCAGAGCAAAAACTAATGTAATTAACAAAATAGAACGCAACATTTCGAAATTTCTAATTTCTAATTTTTTGTTGATTTACGAAGACTACAGAGCTTGAAATACTACTGGAAATGAAATCTATGGGAACTGACTTTTATACCAAAAAGATTGTTTACTTTTTTCACAAATCAGTGAGATTAGTTTAATATCACAAATCAAAGTAAGAGATTATATATTTCTTTTTACTCAATGCATATATAATAGAAGAATTGTGTACCCTATAACCAGTAGAAATGGATGTTAAAGTTACATATATATGCTAAAACTGTGTATATATTTCATATATTCCTACTCTTTCACTCTCATTCCATTTGTTATCGACTGCTTCTGCAAGCAAATGCTCTGTAACTACGCTACAACTCTTATGGATTGTAATATGTATAATCAACGATTTATTTCTATTAGAAATTATCATCTATGCATTCACTCACTTTCTTATTTGGCTCCGATTATTTAACCTTCTCAAGGTGCCTCTGATCTTTATACCAGCACCATATAGAAATACCCCGATTTCAATCACAGGTCACCATTTTAAAAGTCGTCTTTTTCAGTCAGTCTAGACAGCGCATATGGAATTAGATTTTTCTAGAAAACCTTATATAGATCGCTCAAAGTTAGTTATTATTATATACAATTCCTCACTATTCATATTATAATAAAGCAGATAAAATGAGCAATTTGTAGAAAGTTGTTTTTTCATACGGAATGGTCAAAATTTTGTAATTACTTTTAAAATCTATAGAAGGCCCGCTTTTGTCTGCTGGAAATAATCAAGACCTTATCTCTTTCCGATAAACATAACACTCTTTATGATTTTCTTTCTTGATTTTCCTGTCTATTTTTGATAAACATAAATCCTTCGATAATTTTCCTGAAGCAAATAATAAAGATCCTTTCGACAATGTTATGACCCCACATTATTAGGTATCTTCTTTTCAGTTTTTATTCTAACTTTTTAAGGCTCAAAACTTTTCTAATTAAGATTAAAATATACAAGTTGAAGAATCTACAGCTCACAAAGACGAAAATTTCGAGAGATTTTAATGTGAGTTTCACCTGATTTCATCTATGAAATATAGTTGAGCTTATGACTATATCTTTAGACTTTCAATAGAGTGGTATGAAGATATGTTTTTACATTTTCCATTATAATTAGCTTTAAGCATGCTAAAACTAAATACAATTACTTTAAAATATAATATATCAAAGCTATAGCTTTGATATACTATACTTTAATGGATATAACAGATCCATAAAAGTACAAATCTTTTCATATTACTTATAGCAGTCCGAATATACCGTTCAATTTTATCTTTTAAATTTTTTCTTTCAAATTTTCTGCAGGTGTCTCTTTTCTTTGTTTATTTTGATCTTAAGTCTTCAACAATACACGCCATAAGTATTAACTGCAGGTGTTCCACTTAATGACGAATTACTTCTGATAAGAATTAAACTACAATTATTGATAATTACACTTCTGAATGAATTGCTGCTTGCATTAAACAAATATGAAGAACTAATGGTATGGGATTGAAAGAATTTTATGAATTAATATGAATTTATGGAAATGATAGGAAAATCATCCATATTCCTGTCAGACATAATACTCGTAACATGAAACTATGTAACATGGATAGGTCTAAACAGATTTTGAATATCCCCAAATGTTTTCAAGAAGTATATTTTTCTTTTGCTAAGTATCAAAAAAATATTTTATTGTTCAAATGAAACTGTTAGAAAGGGAGTAAGGAGTTTCAATAAAAAAATCAGGTATATATATCTGATCAGGTCAAAGTACACCAAAATTTTTAGTGGCTTCTGCTTTTCGCAAAAACCTCTTATAAAAGCAAAGTGCGATTACACATTAAATGTAGAAATAATACTAAAGCTGTGTGAATCGGAACTCAAAATTTAATATCATATTCATTATTCTCCAGAAGAACTACATTTCGCACATTCCAGGGTAAATTTATTTACAAGTTCTTAGAGTTTATATCCATTTTTAAGATGTCAGACAAAAAAGGTGATGCACCATTACGTGCATGATCCTAAATTCCTTGAAATATATGTACTATTAATGGTGAAAATTTGGAGAATATATAAATATTTGGCTAGGAACTATATCCTTTAAAACCGAAAAGTTTTTCTAAAGTTAGTATATATACATTCCTTTAATTAAATGCATTAAATCATAATCAAGCAAGTGCCAAAACCATCAGAAACTTTTTCGAAATAATAAATAATAAAATTTTAAACTGCAATAATTATTTTGATGTCATATTTCTCTTAATATTGATATTGAATTAATATGTCAACCGATTATTATCAATTGGGTAATTTGATATAGCAAGTTTCAAGAAAATGATAAAACTATGAAGCAGTTGGAAAACGTTTAGTTTTGAACACCATCATGATCTATAATCCATAATAAGAATTCAATTTTAACTTATTGTGTCAGTAAAATTGACTATTCCATAAAATTAAAAAAGAACTTGTCAAAAATTGAAAAAAAAAGGAATGAAATTCATTAAAAGATTTAAATTATTTATAATAGACACAAAATCAAGATACAAAATAAACTCGCCGGATTCTCTTTTTATTTATTGATATTTTATAAGCAACATATCGAAATCCTCTTTGAGCTTTGTGATATTCCATTTATATTTATCATATGACCTATTATAAAATTGCTCCATTTTATGATTTTTCTAAAGTTTTACTACACATCTATTTATACTTACAGTTAGAAACGTCAAAAGCTTTTTATATCAATAACTTTTTATAAGAATTTTGCATGAATTTTGTATGAAAAATTACACATAAGGCTGATTTCACTGTAGTTGCACTTAAGTCATGCTTAAGTCATCATTTTTACTTATTTAATTTATTCTTACATTAATTTAGAGACTTCAATAACGATTATGAAATCCGCACCTATTATTGCAGATTTATCGATTTAATTGCAAACGCCTTAATAATTTTCTCAAAAGTCCTTTAATTAAGATCAAGTATTGTCTTTGCTTATATATTATATAAAGATCGTAATATTACGCTATTGTAAATTTATCTATACAAAGACCGTTTCTGATTCTTCACTTCACTAATTCATGACCGTATTAAATGTAGAATTTCTATATAACTAAGTGTCATCATATAACACAACCATTTAAAATTCTGCGTTAGTACAATTTATTGTGACTGCATCCATATAGTGAGTTTAGCAAGGTTCAAAACCGTGCCAATTCACAATTTTTAAGAAAACGAAAAACGGGAGAAATTATTTTTTTATGATAACCTTTTCGATAATAAAGTGCGATACTATGAAATAAAAAAAACTATATATATATATATCATAATAAAATATGATTCAATATAATTATTGAATAATAATATACAATACTAATATACAATATAACTTAGAAGTTATTTAATATTATTTAAACTTTTTTATACTAATATAGTATGATTAAATATTTTTTCCAAAAAAAATTTATAAAATATGTTATAATTATTAAATTAAGAATTTGTTAAGTTAAAAAATCTGTTTTTCTGCACTAGTGACGGAGCCAAAGATGGCTGTAAGGATATAGACATCATTTGGCAATATAATCAACAAAGAATTTACACTACAAAAAAATTAATTTTTTAAATATTTATTTAAAAATACGTATAATACAAACGATTACGGTAATATAATTAAATTTTGTAAAAATGGTCTACACACTATAAAGTTTTTCAATGTCAAATTTATGTATCTGTATTATAATATATTATAAAAGAAATAATAAATAATAAATAAATACTGCATATATTTGTTAATGAAGTAATTACAAATTTTCATTATATATAATTATATTATTATATTTCATTACACTTCATTATTATATTTTATTATAATTGTGATAATACAGTGTTAAAACCAAATTTTCACTGAGAAAAAAAGAACTCTTATGTAACTCTAATATAATCTAATTGGAAATGCTATAACAAAAGTTGTGAAATGAAACAAAAGTTGTTAATTAACAAATCAACGTGTAATAGTAATGTTCCCATTGCCTTTAATAAGCAGTTTATAAAACATATTTGACGCATAAAATAAAATGTAAATAGAAAAACAAACAAATAAGAAGGAAAAATTTTTTAAAAGGTTTGTTTTTTATAAATAAATATATATAATATTGTTTGCAATTTCCACGTTTTCCATCATGAATAATTTAATTTCTGCTAACAATACAAAACTGAATGCCATCTGCAAAAAATTGACTGAACTTTCTAATACATAAAAACTCTTTTAACTTAAACTTTATTTCAAGTTATGCCAATGTAATCAACCAAATCTGCAGTGGGAACGTGGTATAGTATTAACGTGTATTCTTATCAAATAATTGTAATGCTATTATTAAATAAAATGTATTAATAAAATTTGTAGATTTTAAGCAAATATATTATTGATTTACAATAAACAATAAATACATTTTTTAAACTTGTCTCATATATTAAATAATTGTTTCTATACTATAAATAAGTTAATCAAAAATATACCACTCATCAATGATATATATAGTTTAGTTTATTTTAAAATACTAGTTATTTACATATACTTAATATAAACACATTTTCTATTATGAGATTATAAAATATTGTTTAAAATTGGTCGAAAATTTCTTATTGACTGAAGTCAACCTTTTTTCCAATAAAAACTTATCTGAAAGTCTATTGTGAATGGTTGGTGAAACAAATGGAATTGAATTTTTGACAATTCCATTTTTCTTGCGTTCGCTGCTTGTTAATGCAGTTCAGTGTGAAATTTGTTTAAGATCGTATGTGTGCGGACGCGTTCGTTGTGCTTGTGTGGGTTGATTATATTTATTAATGAATATAATAATAATTAATGTAAACAAAAAATTTAATTAATTAGTCAAACAAAAAATTCAATGCGGCCGGTGCAATATAATTAAGAAATTTCTAAATTATTTTCGTGTTTACGCCAATTAAAAATTTCAAGTGCAGACGTTCCTTTATTCTTCTATTGTGGTTTTGCCTTTTTTGTTGTATCAAT